CGAGGGAAGACTATGTGGAGGTGTATTAGGGCAGCGGTATGCTGGTCTTTGTGGGAAGAAAGAAACTCACGCATTTTTTCTGACAAGGAAAGAACTTTGGAAGAATTGTTAATTGAATCCTTTTAAGAGCTGTCCACTGGCTAAAATCTTTGGAGTTGTTTTCAGATTTTCCTGTGGATGACTTGCTAAGAAACTGGAAAGAGAATGCTTCCATTGCTAGATGCAAGAGGACTCTTTGTCGGTTTTGGTCCCCTCCCCCCGTTGGCTTTATAAAGCTGAATTTTGATGGCAGCAGTGTAAGGAATCCAGGGCCCTCTGGGATTGGAGTCGTCTTCAGGAATGAGGAAGGGATTGTTACTGCTTTATTCTCTAGCCCTATTGGAGAAGGTGACTCTCTTAGGGCTGAGATCCTTGCAGCGCTTGAAGGAATTCAAAGAGCAAAGGAATTAAATATCAGCCGTTTGATTCTGGAAGGTGATTCGAAGGTGGTGGTTAGTTGGTTGAAGACAGAGGACAGTGGTTTGTGGAACTTTAACAATGAAAAAAAAAAAACAGTTCTTATGGCTAGGTAGGGACATTGATATTCTATACAGATGGGTGAAGAAGAGTGCCAACTCATTTGCGGATGGGTTGGCCAAGCAAGGAGTGAATAGGGAGTCTGTTTTTTGGGCTAGTTTTTAATCTTTTTCTTTGCATTTCCTTTGTTTTCTGTTTTTGGGGAGCTAAGTTATTTTATCTCCCCCTTTGTATCCTTATTCATTCTCTTCTTTTAATTTAATGAAGTTGGTGTTATTGATAAAAAAAAAGTACTTCCACAAAAGTGCTTTTATAAATGTACTTTCATAGAAGTATTTTCATAAAAGTACTTTTATAAAAGTGCTTCGTAAAATTTGAAAGAAAATGAAGGACAGAATAGTCACAAATGCTTATTTAAGTGCTTATTGAAGAAAAAGACTACCAAATGCCCAATATGAAATAAGTGCTTATTTTTAACATAAGCACTCCCAAACAGAGCCTAAGATAGTTGAGTTACGTGCATAGACAACCATGAACAGAACCCGTAAGAAGAAGCAATTTGTTGCAAGTTGAAGGGGCCACAAGGGCTAGGGGTAGACTAAAAAGGGCATGGGTARTAGTAAGAAATGATTTAAGCACCAACTGTTAAACAATGACTATGGCATTAGAAAGGATGGAATGACAAAACAAGATTCATGTAGCCAACCCTATATAGTTGGGATAAGGCATGGATGATGATGATGATGATGATGATGATGATGATACTAAATGAATAGCTAGCCAATATTGAAATGGCAATGGTCCCAAAATGAAAATATAAATTAACATACAAGATGAAAAGGCATCATTAGAACAGCTAAAATTATAGAACTTTTAAGGTAACAGCTAACATCATTAATACATTGGAAGAGAATGCCCAAAGCCTTCCAATATCATATTATCATAGGCACTCAAAAGATACCAACAATAGAAGTCAACAAATGAAAGTAAGAAAACAGATGCATTTCTAGGAGGATTGTTGTTATGCTCATTTAGGAGAGATAGAAGTGATTTGTATTAGGATTAACCATTATCAGATATAAGATGCCACAAATGCATCACACCCACAGTATAGACCACCAGAGTAACAGACTGTCTTCTCCTTGATACAATACAGCATGTACTTTTAAGGCAAGTCAAGATTTAGGATTACCAACCTTCATATCTGATGTCTCAGCCCGATGCCAAGAAGAATCTACTGAAGAAACTAACAACATTGACAATTGCCCAGGAGTCACTCCCTCTCCAGTAACATTACCTCGCAGATTCAACTGAGATGATAAGCACACACGAAGGAATTTTAGAGCCTGCTTTCTATAGAAAGAATCCATGCCAAGGTTTTTCTGCATGACTGCTGCTACAGCCAAATAAATACAGCGGTCCAAAGGTACCAAAAATGGGGTTGATGGCTCAAATGTAAGAATCAAGCGAAGACCATGTTCAGGGTTCTCCTTGCACTCAAGTGCAAGAGGCTCTTTAAGAAAGCGTCTATTACGACCACCTAGCTTACCCAAAAGTTGCAAAGCTTTTGCACCCCATGGATAAGGTGCAGGCCTCAAGTGTGACCATAAGGCTAATATCACTTCAGACATAACATTTGCCATACTTGGTTCCAAGAAATCAGGATTTAAACTATCAATCCAATACTCAAGAGTTCTTAGACCTAAGGCTACTAGGTCATCACTTCCTTTTAGAGTCAAAACAAGGGGCTTCATAAGACGAGAAAGGTGAGGCAACAAAGAACTTAATCGTGCTGGCAAGGTTAAGCAAAGCTCCAGGACAAGGTCCCTCATATCTTCACCTGTAGGGCCCTCAACCATAGCAAGCAACATATTTAAACAAGGCTGCAATGTGGGTATTAGGTCTCTCAATAGAAGTTCAAATTTGCCTCCTGCAAGTGCGCGGAACATTGTACGAAGAAGCTGCATATAGCCAAGTGGTTTTTCAACTTCAGTAGCACTTTTCATGCAAACTTCCATGATAGAAAGCACATGAGGCTGCAAAATACGTTCGCAATCTGAAGGAACTTTAGCAACCGCAGCAAATAACAACCGAAAAAGATGCAACACTAGTTTTGCTGCAGGCGTATCTGGATGCTTCAGGGCGTCAAGCTTACTGCTGACAAGAAAATTGACCAAAACATCTGCAAAGGGCCGAAAAACCTTAGGTGCTTGCAGAAGAGTGGAAAATATTTGAAGCAATTGGTTGTTGCTAATCATGCAATCAAAAAGCTCTGGCATGCACAGAGAAAACATGTCCATCAGATCACGAGGCTCCATGATAGCTAAAATCTGGGAAAAAAGGTGGAGCATTTCCCGCTCCTCATCTTTCTCTTTGAACAGAGCTAAACAGTGGACGCCACTCTTCAGAACACCAGAGGCTTTCCACACCTACCAGAAGAAATACCTAAATAAGATAATCATGTAATGAAATCCATACTTAAGATTAGTAAGTTTATTTGCAATACCTCATCTTCTCTCATCCCTTTAAATACTTGAGGAAGAGGCATATTGGTTGATGGTGAAACCTGCATCGGTTGATGTGTTCCATGTGGTGTTGGTGAAACCTAAACAGTAGGAAGTCCTGAGTGAGAATATATAGACAATACATACATTTCTGGAATCTCTGAATAAGAGAATTTTGAAACCTGAGTCCGAGGAAAATGAGCGTGAGTGATGCTCCAGATTATTGTCTTCATTCCTGAAGAATAAAAAGCAAAGAAATGAGAACACTAATTGCAGACAAGGAAAGTTACTAGTTATGAACAATAATAGTTAACCAGTCAACACTAGACTGCGAAAACAGCAAGGTTTAATGAGCAGTGTAATAAAGTAGATTTAGAATCCAATGTAGTGCAATTGACTCAGTGCAGACAAGCAGGGATAGGAAAAAGAATCATGCTGAGGTGAACATTAGGAGATTGGAGCAGGCAAAATGCCTTCATGATTCTTTAATTTTAGACTAAGGGTTTTCAAGAAGGATGCTTTTAGGGAGATAGTGTTACAAGAAGGAACTGTAAAATGTCAACTGAAAGGCTCCCAATTTAGTGCTTTAATTATAATTTTTTTTGCAGGCTAAGAGCTTGCTGCTGGCTTTGGGATGTGTACGAGATATGATCAATGCAGTACAAATAGAAAGAAAAAAGTCCTTTTCAACATTTGAGACTGACAAGGATCAAATTTATATTGATAAATGAGATAAAAATTAACATTCAGCAAAATTATATTAACATGAGAAGTTATTCCTTTTCTTTTCCTTCTTTTACTATTTTTCTTGTTTCTTGGGGGTTCTACAGTGTCATGATTTTATATAGGGTGGAGGGTTTACAAGAGCTCTTTGAGAGAAATGACTATTTACCAAAAAGTAGAAAGCTAATAATTAGAATGTAATACTTACCCATAACCAATGTCTTGATTAGATGTTTACAATCACTGACTTCCTTAGAATGTTCCAGAGGGACCTGCACATTTAGAACTGCCTGCAACAAGATTACATATCAAAAGAAGATCCAAAGCAAAATAGGCACTATATCTCGATCCAAAGCAAAATACTCTGTTTTGTGAGGAATAAAAAGAACAAATGAGTTAATACTAGCAATAAGTAAAAGGCCAGTGGAAGACAAACAATTCTTAAAAAATCAGCAGATATAGGAACATGAAATTCTTTCTGCTCTACATGCTTCATTTTACAATGCATTTTGCAGGTTTACCATCAACCAAGATTTGAATGGTCAAACAGCAACTTCATCTCTTGTCAACAAAGCACTCTACAGGTTTGCTATCGGACCACCTTCTTGTGATCACTTGCATCAGTCCTCTTGGTTCAGATCTCACAATTCCCATATATTTCTCAACCAGTTATGCTTGATTTCCACATTAACCCAAACATCAGGAAAATTACTCATTTTCCTAGGAAACAATTGTTTTCACTCATCATATGTCTAGCACAACCTAGGTTCAAAACGATAGCTTAAAAAAAAGCAATAATACATAAATTTGTAAGAATAAGACAAAATCAGTACAAGTTTAATATGCAGATAATGAAAGATATAGAGAATATCAAGAAGAAACAAGTTATACCTAAGACAGCTAAAAGACGCACTGAATTCGAGAATAGAAATGACACAACGAATAAAATTTTACTGAAGTTACCTTCAGAACTTCCATTAAGTAAAAACCAAGAAGCAGGACTCCTTAATATAAAATCCAATCCATGAGGAAAACAAAATAAATTAAAAAATATATATGCATACACAAGCAAACCATTATTCGTTGTTAAAATGTGAGAAAAAAATACCTTCAAGGATGCAAAATGTTTACACTGATAAATAAGATTAATTCAGAATGAGGAAACATTAGATTACAAAGAAAAAAATGCAGAAATAAGTTTAAGGCAAAAAGGGCATCTCCAAATTAGATATACAAATAAACTTATTCATTCACAAAGCGTAGCAAAAAAACCATTAAAAATAAAGAAAAGCTCTAGAACAACCTGCACAGGGAGTTCAAGCTTTGACCTCAATGTGGATCGCTCTCTTCCCTCTTCACCCTCTTCTAGTAGCTAACTCAAGATACAATTCAATATCAGTAATGAATCTCATGCTAAAGAATATAATCAAACAAGATTAAAATTTCAAATGAAACATCTCACAGCATAATGAACAGCAATAATATAAAACAAAGCTTCCATATGAAATGCTTAGCAGCAAGCATTTCTATAGATATGCTAGAAAATTTAATCTCATTCCATGTTTTTAAGGAGAAACAATCCCAACTAGACCTACAAATGCAAATGCAATAAGTTAATCTCATTTCATGTTTTTATTCTATTTTGACAGATTTCTATAGATATATCTATAATTAAATCCAAGAAACCAAACATCTAGCACAACATTTTTCAAATATAATTCTAACATCCACCAACCACGGGTGCACAACAGCACAAGGTAGGAATTAGTTATGTCAGCAGGTAGCCTGACAACCAGTGTTGTCAGATCAGACCGGATCAGACAGTTCAACCAGAGATTCAATGACCAGATGACCTTACCAAAAAAAAACATGTGTTGCATTTCTTTGTGTTTTTTCTTTATAATAATGAAGGAAAATAATTATTAAAAGAAAAGGTATCCCAAGAACTAAGGCCCAATTGGTGTTGGTGATGACCTGATTGGAGTATTGGGCACCCCAACCTCTTGGGCACATAAAACTCAATTTTGATGGTTGCAATCTTGGCAATCCCAGCATCTCAGGTTGGGCAATTATCTAATTAGAGGACAAATTGATAATTGAAACCTTAGAAATCCCAATAACTCAAGTTGGATAATAATCAGGTCCAATTGTTATTTGTCCTTCCACAAGGGCTGGGCTAGTATCACTTTTACGGGGCTTAAGACTGTGTTCCTCTTTGGGATGCACCAATGCACAAACCTAGAGGTAGGAGATTTGTAAACAGTCCTAAAGTGGGTGAAGAATGGAGCACTGGAACATTTGACAGCTTTATCATCATGTTAAGAAAGCAAATCTTTGGCTGTTAGCTAAAACTCTGTTTAGTTGCATCATAAAATCAGAAAATACACATACTGATACACTTCAAAGAGGAGTCAATAGACAAATCAGATGCCTCAGCTGAGTAGTGGCATAATGATTTATCATTTGTCGCAAGTAGCAGTTGAGCTAGCTCTCATTCTAGACTTGGGAAAAGAGCTTTGATGACTCTCATTTATCTCTTATTATGATTTTATCAATACAACCTTTAAACAGTTAATGATCTAAAAAATGGAGAATAATTACATTAAACGCATGATCAGCTCATCCTACTTGGCATCAATCTTGCCCTTTAAAGCTTTGTGTAACAAAGACCACTCCATAGTACAAAGCTAACATCCTTGCAAAATTTGTGATTTGGCCTTGATTTGCTTTGAAAGATTCTCCAATTCCAATTCTTCTAAAGGACCCCACAATGACACAAAAGAGATGATCCTCCAAAGAATTGCATTTCCAGACTCAAAGGAATGGTAAGAAAATATTAACTGATGCACCTGGATTAGAACCTCAGTTCCACCTGAAATACAATGAGAAATAAGCCTGGTATCTTCTTAGATACTTTTCATTTTACAAATAAATGATTTTGCATATTCTTCTGCTTCCTCACACATCTACACATTTGTTGGTTACTTTTAAATTGCAAGGTTTAGGCAATGATTGAAGATCTTTCCAATTGCTACTAGCCATGCAATGGCCTCCACTCCAGGAAGGTACACCAAATCTTTGTGAAACTAAGTGTTCTTTTTTTTAATAGGAAACAGTAACTTTCAATAGATTAACTCGAAAAACACTACAGAGGTTCAGTCCCATAGCATAGGGTACTAGAACCCCTAAAGACTTCATAATTGCAGTTCAGCCCAAAACAATTCAACTCTATTTACCCCTTGTCCAGCAAACCCATCAGCCAAACTATTTCCTGACCACCTAACCCACTTAAAAGAAACACTAATCTCTCTTGAAAGGCTTCTTATCTCCCTTAAGTACATCTGGTAATTCCATATCCCTATACTGCCTGATTGTAACCATCCTATTACCATCTTTGAATCACTTTTCACTTCCACTTGTCTAAGACCCAATTGTTTTAACTACCCCAGTTTTATCCCTTGGAGCAGAGCTAAAACTTCAGCCCTAAGAGAATCTCCCTCCCCTGTAGGCCCAGAACAAAAAGCCACATTTGATGGGCCCAACTCTCTTGTATCGAATCCTTTGGTTCTGAAGAACTTGCAATTGTTGCTCAATTCTTTAAAATATCATCAAATAAACAATCTTTGAACAACTCCAAAGTTTTCAACCAGTTAGAAACCTTGAAGGTTGCTAAATTGGAAGATTCTATTGTTTCTTTCTTCACAAAGCACCCAAACTATTGCTACCCTTACAGCCCTCCTCATTATTCTAACTTTTTTCTTCGGCTACCTGAAAAGGTTTGTATCAGAAAGGCCTGCAGGCTGCAACACAAGTAGGGGGTAACCACTCTAATGAGCTTTGTAGAGGATAAAGAACGACTTGAGTGAAAATTCCTGTAAACGGTCATCAACCCAACTTTTGGTCTTCAAATTCTGGTTGCACTACTACATCCTCCAAAACCAGCAAAAACCATGTACATATCGCAATTTTTCATCTAGCAAAGAACAGCAGAAGGATTCCATACAACCTGATTTCCCCTTGTATAACAGGCGCATATCATATAACAAGCGCAGAGAAGTAAATCTCCCTAACCAAACACCATGCAACTTCCCAGAATCTGACCTGATTTCCCTTTCCAACTTTGGAGATCGTTCAATCCATTTTCAGAGCTTCTGCAGATCGTTCCTACATATATAAAGGAACCTTCTGCAGATCATTCAATCCATTCCTAGCCTCCCCCATTTTCAGAGCTTCATATATATCCATCATTCTAAAGGGGAAGTGAAGTTACACTGTGATGGTAATCCCATTAGCAACTTGGACTATGGAAATTTCACAAGATCAGGGCAACAAACCTTAAGCATTCAGCGATACTATTCAATGTTCAGAGAACCATCCAGGCATAGAACCAGAGAAGGGAGAGGTTCACAGGTCAAGAGGTTCAACCAGGGCCAAACCATAATGACGTGGCATATACATATATATATGCTACAGGTCATAAAACTCTATATATAATATATTAAACTTTTAATATACTTAAATATTGGTGGGTGGATGGTAAGTTCCTTAGTTTCTAAAGCAAATGAATAGGGTTCAAGTCTCTTAATTTACTTTTTCTTTAAAATATGTGCATAATAATAAAGTAATATGTATAACTAGAGTCAGTAATTACCACAAGTAAAGAGGTGGCTTAGTGGTAATTAAGTAATTTATGAAAATAAGACGTCATGGTTTAAAGTCTTGTTAACCACATTTTAAATTTTCAATTATTTATGGACCCAAGTGGTTTCATGAAACAGGGGCCAGTTCACCAATTTTCCGGTTAAACCGTCTAGTTAGCCTAGGTTTTTAGAAAATGTGGTTATTAGGGTGTGACCAAACTAGTTAGAGTCCTAGTCAGGGTTCAACCAGTCTGGTTTCCTAAACAATGATACCAATGATCAAAGTATCGGTATCGGGTACCGTATCGGACAACTTGGATACGGATACGGATACAAATACGTTTGGGAAACGCATGGATACGGACAAAAAATATAGAGACGCTTGGATACACTAGGGAAATGGACAAAAAATCCATAAATATATTATTAATATTAAGTTTAATGTCAAAATAATTATAAATAATATATAAACACATTAGAGCTTTATATTATAATGGTATAAATGAAAAAAATAAATTACAACTAATATAGCAAGATGCATAGATATTATGCAAATTTATTGATAATGCATCAATCAATAATCTAAGACATGCAACTATTCTATTTGAATTACCATATCAATAGTTCTATTTTATTATTTTTATTTTTTAACATTAACAAAAAATCCACAAAAAAAAATCAATTCTCAAATTATTGTTAAACAATATTTTCATTTTTTTTAAATAAATATGTTATTATAAAATGTAAAGTATTAATTAAAAATTTATAAAAAATATATAATCTTAACTTAAAATATATCAAATCAATTAAAGTTTTGAAGATATATCATATGAAAATTCATAAATTTTAATTACTAAAATAATTATCCCATTATTAATGTTTTTATTTTATAAAATTTCTAAAATATAAATGTAGACTGGTGGAATTGACCAATTCAATTTATGTTATATGCTCAAAAATTTTGTAAATAATTTTTTTATTTTTGTAAATAGTAAATACATTATTATTTAATGCAAACTAAAATATTAATTGATAATTTATAAAAATTTGAATATACAAATAATGTGCAAATTTATAAATTTTAAGTATTAAAATAATTATTCTATTAATAATAATTTTTATTTGTATAAATTTCTTGAAATTAAAAATCAATTTCTAGTATATATGTAGATTTGACAAATTATTTATTCCATTGTTCATAAAATACTAATTTTAAAAATTATTCTTTTTAATTTATAGTTGGAGTTGTTGAATATTAGTATATATATTGTTTATTTGGGTTGTAACTAGACTACTAGACTTTAATGTTGATAAAGGTTAATGTATTTCTTTTATTATCAAAAAGTGGTAAGTGGCTTGGTGGTTGAAGAGGCATATGCTCTTGGTCATTGGGCAACTTCAGTTCTATGTTCGAATCACGCCTACCTCATTTTTTTAAAGTGAGACGTAGTTTGTTGTTGTCAAACGAAGGCATGGACACAGACACGGTATGCTGTCGTATTGGTGCGTATTGGATTGTATCACCCGATACAATACGATACGCGCCAATACGGTAGTGTATCGAACCGATACGCACGACTGGCAAGATAAGTATCCAGTCGTGACGTATCCTGTGTCGGTGAGGTCCGATACCGATACGATACGCCCCGTATCAGGCATATCGTGTTGATATTTTATTCCTTGAATGATATCATTGATGCAGGTTCAATGAATGATGGTGTTTGCTCTAGATTGCATCCCTCTTCCTCAACCAGTGAACGAGGGTCCCACAATGTTGTTAAATGCAGCAAAAGAATTGGTAGGAAGCCATGGAGATCTCTACCTTACCAATTACCTTAATGTGATTGAGGATGGGATACTCTGTTTTGCTTAACCAAATCATCAATGGCTTAACTGGATCAAGTTTGGGAAAGGACTTTTTTACAGCTTTAGATCTATGCCTTGGTACTTGCGTACAAGGACAGGATTGTACTTTCAATCTTTTGCATATAGCAATTTCTATGATGCCAGAATGATATTAGAGGAACTATGACAAGTTAGAACCCCCCCCAAATGAATGTTGATAAATACCAATTGATTGGTTATCATTTTTTTTTTTTTTGCTATCATGCCTTTCCAATATCATAATCAGACTCTTTGAATACATATTTTTAATAAAAGAATGTAAAAAGAAAAAGAAAACGTACAACCACAACCTAAGGCAAGGGAAAGATGTGGATGATTGGAAAGGTCAAAAAATAAAGGCAACACCTTTTGTTTTAAACAAAAGTGAGGCTAAATATTCAATAGAGAACCAAAAAACACATAATGTACACCATTACTCCTATAAAAGTTCTGGAGCAACAAAGAAATGACTATAAAAGATTATTAAGCTATTAACTTCACAACTATGACTACCAAAACATGCCAATAAACAAGAAATGTGTGCCACAATTGCAATTAAGGCTTAGTTTGGAAAGAGTATGATGTAGTAGGGCTGGAACAAACTATTAGAAAATAGAAATAAGAGAGGAAGAGAGAGAGAGAGAATAGAAAGGGTAGAGAAAGAGAAAAGAGATAGAAAGGGAAAAGAGAGAGAAATCCCAAGTAATCACCATAATTACAAAAATGGCACTCCTTGTCTTGTGCATCAAGAAACACAATAGCTTTATATCCTACTATTCACTTGCTTCAAGCTCTTCTCTATTTTAAGAGCCATCTAAAAAGCATCACCTACATCATAAACTATTGCAATCATCATTTCCCTTTGAATATCATCCCTTAAACCATTCTGAAATTGGGCCAATTTTTGCTTCTCACTTTCTGTACTATTAGATGCCAACCTGCTACATCTAATAGTAAGCTCATCAAACTTCTACATGTACTCAAGCACAAATAAGCTGTTTTGCCTTAATGTCATCATCTCATCATGAAGAGCATCTTGGAAGTCATTAGACAAATATTTTCCCTCCAAGTAATGCTTACCCATATTTTGTAATCTATTCTCCACACTCCTTCACCATACTTTTGCATGGTCTACAAGTTTAAGTATAGTAAATCAAACCCGTCTCTCATCTGACATATCGACCCAATTAAAGTATTCCTCTAGTTCTGCCAACCAATTAGAGAAGACTCATGGATTGATATCACCTCTAAAACTAGGAACTTCTATCTTCACCTTACTAGTAATATCATCCTGATAGTCATCTATATTAGTCTTGGAATGTTCCACCAACTCATCATATAAATCATTTAAAGTACCTTGAGTTCGTAGAGTTCGAGACCTTAGGGGCTTGATGGCAGTCCTTAGTGGGTGGTTCACATGGACCAACAGGGTTATTGGTGTTAGAACCCTCTACTTCACCTCCTCCATGTGAAACACTGGTGCTGTTTTTCTCTTCTTGTTCTTCCATGAACACTGACTTTGAGCTTCTAGGGCGTCCACTCACTTAATAAGTGCAAGAAACAACTCTTCTTTAGCTTGTTCACTTAATCCTCCTCTCATGTTTCTACCATGTTATGAGCCATTTGAAACCTGATGCTCTGATAACAAAACTGATGCAGTAGGATTGGAACAAACTATCAAAGAATAGAAATGAGAGAGGAAGAGAGAGAGAGAGAGAGAGAGAGAGAGAGAGTAGAAAGGGTAGAGAAAGAGAAATCCCAAAGTATCACTCCAAGGGGTCCTAAAATCACTCTAGGATCTGTAGGACTCCATACAGAAAGAGAGGTCTTAAGAAATCTTCATTCATTTATTAGCTTCAAAAGGACGAGAATACATCTATTTAGATGCAGTGACTTGTGTCCCAGAATACTGTTCACCATAAATACAAAAAATGCCACTCTGTGTCTTGTGCATCAAGAAACATAATAGCTTTCTATATACTAATGCAAATAAACTGAAAATTGAAAGATATGCCCTATTAAACTAGAGGAACGAGATATATAGCCCAGGCCCACATAGGACTAGTTAAAATGACGAAAATGCCCCTTGGCCTTCTTCTTACGAGAATAGGTCTTATAATGCCTGGACCGATCCCCATCAGAGTACAAATGCAAATATGTACAGTACAAATACATACAAAATACAAGGTTTTGCACTCTACATATTTGTATTCATACTCCATCCAAACTGAGCCTAAGAAACAAGTTACAATGATGTTTCAATGCAATAAACCATAAACCAAACTGACATGAAAAGATGGAGTAAACACTCTTAACTTCCAAAAGTGATTAACTAAGTTGCATACCTGTGGTATAGTTCGTTTGAAGGTACCAAACTTCCCTACAAAAGCATCCAAAATTTTCCCCTGTACAGAGACAAAGTTATGAAACCTTCCCCAGATAAAAAATTCCCTGAAATAACAATTACAAATATACATGCAAAGGAAAGCATTCAATCTAAACAAATTTAAAAAAAGTAGCATTGTAGTAATATTTTAGGATAAGAAGGCTCCAAATTTAGGGACTAAGGACTCAAACCAATAGGATCCGTGCTTCATCCATGGCTGGCTGGTCAATGCCTTTCTCAAAAATGGGTTCTACCTGAGAAACATGACAATAGAAGCAAATGTCATGACTGAATACTTGAAATAACAAAGCAGGTGTAGACAGAAATCAAATGCAGATTTCTCCATATATGATGGGGCACCAAGGTTATGTTCTCACCAGGTTCAACATTAGGCGTGCACAGGTAGTATGAATGCTGAGAGACAAAGATGCATCGTGCATGTTACTCGAAAACAAGTATATAATTCGTGACAACTGCAAGAGAATAATACAAGAGTAAAAACATATTACTGCATGAAAGGAATAATTTATCACAACTATGTGAAAGTTTTCAAGTGTAAACTACATTAGAATAAGAAACATAAATAAAATATTAATCAACACTTTTTTGATAAGTGATAAGTGGAATTTCATTAAGATTAGTAAGAAACTATCAATGGATACAGCAAGGAAAATCCAAGGGGAGCGAGATGCAGCCTTAAAAAGAAGACAAAATTACAATTGAGCCAAAAATAAGTTGTTCCTAAACACCCCTTGCTTAGCTAGAGAATCTGGCAGCCCATTAGCCGATATCCTCTCCCACTGAACTCTCACTCTTATGTTGGAGGTAAACCACTTGAATCTCCTCATTGCCCCCCTAAAACCCAGTTACCAGTTTAGAGTCACCTTCTATCAGCAGATTCCTAAAATTCAGTTCTCTAGCAATCTGTGCTCCCTATAAAACTGCTTGAACCTCTGTATTAACCACATCCCCCTCTCCAATTGGGCCAGAAAACAACACAACAATCTGACCCTCTGCATTCCTAAAACTCCTCCCACTCCAGAAGGCCCTGGATTACCGAAGCAACTGCCATCAAAGTTCAGCTTGATGAAGCCTTCTTTAGGGAGTTCCTAAGACTGCTCTATGCTTGTTGTCAACCAATGACGAATTAGCAACCAAATCCCAGTTTCTCCAAAGGTCATCAAAGGAGAATTGTGAGAACAAAATCCAGATCCAAAGCTTTAGCCCAGTTGATGGCCCTGTTCATAATGCAGTCCCAAACATTATACACATCCCTCTCTTTGTCATTAAAAACCCTAGCATTTATACCAGAGCAGCCCTAACACATCTCCACAACACTCTCCCTCTTCTCTTAGGCCACATGAAGGTAGATGGGTGGAATAGCCCACCAAGCAATGGTAACAGCTTTCTCCATTAGCTTTGCGAAGGAAACACCAAGAGAGACTTCCTAGCACAGGGCTCCCACTTTAGGGGGAATGGGTTTGGGCCAGATTTCCTTGCAATAAAAGGACTGAGAGTTAGGGAAAGAGCAAAAGGCAAGAGAAAAAAGAAGCAAAGGAGAACCAACCCAAGGGGTTAGGAGTCCAAATACGAGTGTCAAGTTTAGAATGATCCAAACAAACAGGTTCAAGGATTTTGATTAGCAAAGAAACCTGGTCAATCTCTGATTCCCTCAGGCCTCTTCTAAAGTCCAGGTTCCAACTAATACCAGAAAAATGGGAGAAAGAGGCAAACCTCTGAATAGATTCAGCCTTAAAGAGGTATAAGGAATACAGGGAGGGGAAAAGGTCCTTGAGAGTGGAATTACCAATACAGATGTCCTCCCAAAACCTAATCCTATCTCCTGTACGCACATCATACCCAATGAGGCTCAAGAAGTTGGAAAGGACCCCATTGATAGCCTTCCACGAAGAGTTCAAAGTGGTCTATCAAGAAACACTAGCATCTCAACCATTACCTATGCACCCGTGAATACTTTCTACTACCTTATGCCAAAGACTCTCCCTCTCTAAAGGCCATCTCCACAACCATTTACCCATCAATGCTACATTCTTCTTCCCTAAGTTGGCTAAGCCCAACCCCCCTTCTATGGACCTAACTCTTACAGAGAAAGCAATGAATTATGGGAGGAGCTTTATGAAATCCAAGGGCTCTGGGATGGTCTGTGGTGTTTGGGTGGGATTTTGATGTAATTAGGTTTTCAAAAGAAACTAATAATCTCCAACAAACAATTACAACTAGCATGAGGAAGTTCAATGATTTTATTGAGGATTATTGAAGGATATTACACTTTTGCAAGCCAAATTTACTTGGTCCAATCACCAAGTAACTCCTCTCCGCTCCAAATTGGACGAGCTTCTCTTCAACATAGCTTGGGAGAGCCATTGGGGAAACTTGGTCTCCATAGCTTTGCCTAGAGTTGCCTCTAATCATTGTCCTATTAAAATAGGTTTGGAGTCCTTTCTCACTTGTCCTAGACCATTCAAGTTCAAAAATATGTGGTGGGGTGAGGAGCTAAGGGAGGTAAATTGGAAAGGGGTCAGATTTCATAAGAAATTAAAGAGGTTAAGATCCAAAATTAAAGAGTCGAATAGAAATCATTTTGGAAGACTAGAGGAACAAAAGATGAGTTTGATCATCTCAGATAGAAGATTGGATGAGAAGGAATCCCAAATTAAATTTTCTAAGGATGATAGAGAATTGAGAAGACACCTGAAAAAGGATCTTGAAGAGGTGCTATTGAGAGAAGAGATCAAATGGAGGCAAAAGACTAGGCATAGGTGGATCAATGGAAAGCAATGGGAATACCATAGACAGAAATACTATAATCTTTCATGATTTGGCAAATGGAAGGAGGAAGAATTTCTTCATTTATCAAAAAAATGGGAGGAGGAAGAATTTTGTGACTAAGTTAGAGATAGATGAGGAAGTGATAACCAACCGAATGACAAATCCAAGAAGTTTATTAATCACTTTAAATCAATTTTCAATAGGCCTTTCAATGAAAGATCAGTAGTGGACTGGCCAAGGTTGCCTAAGGAAAAGGCAAGGTGGCTGGAAAGGAGTTTTGAGGAAGAAGAGATAAAGCAAGCAGTTTTGATAAGTAACAGATCATTAAAATTTATTGAAAATCATAAAGAAATGCATCGTTACAAGCACCCCACAGGGAGGCACGAAATGCAGCCTCATTGTTAGAATAGAATTACAATTGTGCCCAATACAACTGATCCCTAATCAACCCTTGCTTAGCTAAAGAATCATCCAAAGCATTGGCTTCTCTCCCCACCCACTGTATACTTAGATTCATTTGCTGCATTAACTACTGAAACTTCTTCATTTCATTTCTATAACACCAAATCATCGAGAGCAGATCCCTCAACCAACCTACCACCACATCATAAAGAAATGCACCGTTACAAGCACCCCACAGGAAGGCACGAAATGCAGCCTCATTGTTAAAATAGAGTTAGAATAGAATTACAATTGTGCCCAATACAACTGATCCCTAATCAACCCTTGCTTAGCTAATGAATCAGCCAGCCAAAGCATTGGCTTCTTTCCCCACCCACTGTATACTTAGATTCATTTGCTGCATTAACTACTGAAACTTCTTCATTTCATTTCTATAACACCAAATCATCAAGAGCAGATCCCTCAACCAACCTACCACCACCTTGGAGTCCCCTTCAATTACAAGGTTCTCCAAGTTTAAGTATTTTGTAATCTGAACACCTTGTAACACCACAAACAATTCAGCCTTTAAAGAGTCTCCAATCCCTACCGGTCCTGAATAAAGTGCTAGTATGATCCCTTATCTGTTCCTTATGACTCCTCCAATTCCAGACGGACCTGGATTACCTTGAGTGCTCCCATCAAAGTTTAATTTCAGAAACCCTTCAAGAGGAGGTGTCGACACCAGCCTTGGTCTGATCTTCTACACTGAACCAGATGCCACTGAAAAACAATTCCTCCATATATCATCAAAGGAGAACTGTCAAAAAAATCCAAAGTTAGAAGCCAATGTATAACCCTGGTCATTACACATTCCAAATTATGTTGCTTGCTTCTCTCCTTCTCTTGAAAGATTCTTGTGTTTCGTTCTTCCCATAGAGTCCAAATCACTGCTGCTCTAGTACACCTCCACATTATTCTTTCCCTTCTTTTTGGCCAAGCAAAGGTAGCAGGGTCAAACAGTAACTTAACCTCCCTTGGCATGTTCTACCAGCACCCAAGTAGAGAGAAAAACCAATCCCAAATGTCTGCAGCAAAGGAACAGAAAATTAGTAAGTAATAACAAGATTCACCATCGGATTTGCAAAGAGTGCACCGGTTCGAGGAAATACACAAGAAAGGCCTTTTCTTTTGCATGTAGTCCAGAGTATTAATCGTCCCATAAGCCACTTCCCAACAAAAAGCCTTAATTTTTTTTTTTTTTTTGTGGAGGGGAGGGGACTGGCTGACACCAAACTTCCTTAGCAGGAAAAGAAAGAGGGGTAGGGAACTGGAAAAGAACAAGAAAAAAAAAGGCACAAGAAAATAAACCTTTACACCTTGGAACCCAAATTCTTCTATCCGATTTAGAAGGATCTAGGCAGCCTTTATCAAGAATAAGTAAAAGATCTAACAAACAAGTAATCTCTTCATCCCTCAAACCCCTTTGAAACTCAAAATCTCAATTATGAGCCAAAGGCAAAATAGGAGGTATTATGGATTTCAAAAACATCTTATTTTTATACAAGGAAAGGGAATACAAAGAAGGAAACAAATCCCTTAAAGGTCTGTCTCAAACCCACAAGTCTTCCCAAAACCGGATTTGAGTCCCTAAGCAAACATCATACCAGACAACCAGGAGAAACAAATGGTGAAAGCAATGTAGTGCTTTCCAAGGTGCTGCCAAAGTAATCCAACGTGATACACCCGCAACTCAACCATTCTCCAACCTCCCATGAATAACCACCTTGTGCCACAAACTCTCCCTCTCTAACAACCATCTCCCATTTAATTAGATGGCCTCTTTTCTTCCCTTGGTGGAATTCTAAAGACAGAGAGGAAGTAAATTGGTAGGTTAGCCAAGACTGATCTTATTAGAGTAATTCTGCCTCCAAAGGAAATATAATTTCTCTTCCAAGCCGCCGGTCTCCTTTAACACCTCTCTAAAATTGGGTTCCAGAATATAGTTCCTAAAGGAAGGCCCAAGTAGGTCAAGGGCCAAGGGGTGATAGGACACTCTTAACACTCAGCTACTGCATTTAAAGCAATCCCCTCCATATGAATCACTGCTAGGCAACTCTTGTCTAAGTTTATTTTCAAATTTGAGATCCTTTAAAACTTCTTCATCAGTTCTTTTAAATTCCTCACCCTCCAAGTATCACCCCCTTCACAAAAAATTATAATATCATCTACAAACTAAAGGTGGGTAATTGGAACATTGTTTCTCCCCACTCTCCAACCCCTAATCTCATCTACACTGTCAGCCTTAGAGAGGAATCTGCTAAAAACATCTGCCATTAAGGTAAAAAGAAAAGGTGAGAGAGTATCACCTTGCCTTGAGCCCTTACAAGATGGGAAGAAGTCTCTCACCAATCCATCAACAAAAATAGAATAGTGACAAGACCAAATACAACCAAACACCCAATTGCACCATCCCTCCCCAAAACCAAACTTTTGCATCACCTCTATTAAGAAATTCCAATCCACCAGATCATAAGCTTTATCCAAGTCCAATTTGCACACAAACCCTCTCTGCAAGATCTTTTCATTTCCTCTACACATTCATTGACTATTAGGATTTGATCAATTATTTGTTTGCCTTGAACAAAAACTCCTTGAAACCAGCTGATGAAGAACGAAAGTAATACTTTAATCCTCAAAGACAAAACTTTAGCAATTATTTTATAGATACTTGTCATTAAACTAATGGGTCGGAAATCCTTGGGTTGGCTAGGATCAGATTTTTTTGGAATTAGATCCAAGAAAGTTGCATTAACTCCAAGGCTGACAATGTGTGTTTGAAAATTCCTTAAAAACTTCCAAGAGCTCATCTTTCACTACTTCCCAACAATCCCAATAGAAAGCCATTGTAAATCTATCTGGACCCGATGCTTTAGTTCTGTCCATTGAAAAGACTGCCTTTTTTATCTCCTCTTCCTAATATCCCTTTCTAGCCATCTTGTGGCATCATCTTCTAATAAAGGCCACTCTAACCCTTCTACATTCAACCTTTCACCCAAAGGTCTTCTGTAAAAGGATTTGAAGTGATCTACAAATATCTTGGCTACTACCCTTACAATTTGGTTGAAGCTGACCAAACTTGAGCAATCAGAGAAATCTGAATCACTGTCATTGCTACTACCCTCGATTTTTAAGTCTTCGAACTAAGATCACTCAAATCCTTTGGTGTGACATCTGTTGAATCTCGGGTTACATTTTCAAGGGAAATAGACGCATTTCCCTTTACTGGGTACCCACTGCAACAATGCTTGTTGCCCCTTTTCCTTCGGTCGGTTCTTAAGAATACCTGACTTGCTGGAGGAGGATGATAGACATAAAATTTTGTCTAAGGTTAGGCCTTCTTTAGTAGTCACGTGCTCTTTTAAAGAGACATGTGTTGGGCTCTTTTTAGGCCCAAAAGTTGGAATTGACTTCTGAACCGACTACGAGACATCTATGGGCCTTAAAAGGATAGACCCTAGCCCATTCTTGAGTCTCACGTGGTCACTTAAAGTGTCACGTGGTTTGGATTGAGAGCTTGGCCCAACCAATTCGGTCTTGTTCAAGGTTGAACCTCAAAAAGGCTCTTCCAGGTTTTTCTTTAAACTTTTAATTTGTAATTGTTGTGCATGTCAAGAACCATCAGTCAGAGCCCCAGCGTTCATGCGCCACCTCCCCTCCTTTCCTTGGAGTTGGACAATACGTTTTCTCTCCTAAGCCCTTGCCTTTTCGTCTACCCAGAGTTTGTTCAGCCAAATTAGTGTAACTTCCTATCTCTTTTGCTGCCACCATTTGGCTATTGCCACGTAGGAAGTCTTCTTCAAACCTTTTGTCTTCCTTCTAGCAGCTCTCCACAATGCAGCTTTAATGGCGGTTGTCAACCAAACTGAGTACACTATTTGGTCGTCTACAACTAAAAATTTCCTTGGGATTTCTTCAGGTCTCACCCCACTCAACAATATGGTTGTCGAATGAAGATCGCAAAGATACTATCCAACTTAGCACTACAAAGGACAGCAATCAATTTGAAAGTTTCTTCCTTCCAAAGATGGAAGGGGAGACCAAGAATACGAACAATCACCCCATCTTCTATGGTATAACTTTTCTCATTAGATAGAGGGCTCCAACTTGCCACTATAAAAATGTTAGCTTCAACTGTAAAATTCATCACTGTGATTTCTACCACATCTTCCACCAATTATAGAAGGGCCTTCTATTCTTCAAAAGGAGTTATTATCACTGCCCCTTTTAAGTGCAGGTCCTTGATTATAGTCTCTACAATTTCCAATCTTGTGGCTTTTCTTTAGTTTGAACCACTAGCTTCTTGTGCCAATTCCCTCTCTCCCAGATTGTTATGATTCTGAATAGGCCTCCTTTACCTTTCATAATCCGTATTTTTCCATTGTCTTCCTCATCTTTTAATTCTTCATTTTTGTTTTTTCCACCCATTTATCTTCCTCTGTTTCACCTTCCTGCTTTAGAAATTCTTGCAAGGCCATTAGGACCTCCTTCCAACCTTCCTCTTCTGCCTTGAAACATACTACCTGTTTCTTTCCTCGTCCAAAATGCTCATAAAGGGTTATGTATCTTCCTTTTATGTTTTTCTTGCTTTCTACATTATAAGTTCTTTCCTCTACTACCTTTGAATCTTTAATCACAGAGTTTTTGTACCCCCTACAAAGCTTCCTCCAAGAGCAACATAAACCATTCAATCACCTCCCTACCTACCAGCAATACCATCGCCATATTAGTTTCCCTGACCTTCAACATTGTATTCCTTCTTGTTATACAACTCTCGAACACGAAATTCTTTACTTTTATCTTCAGCATTTTTCTCCAACGCACAACACAATCAAACCTTTCCACCATCTTCCTCTTCTATCACTTATATTCTTCTTGATAAGTGCCTCTTTAAAGATAAGATGTTGCCGCTCATGGTAATACTATCTCTTGTACTCTACATAGTGCTAGTAGTGTTCACCAAGGAATATATTGATTCAATTAATGGATAGATCTAAGGCTCTAGGCCTGGATGACTTTACAATGGCTTTTTATCAAGATTGTTAGGAAATGCTGAAAGATGACCTACATGATGTTTACAAGGAATTTGCAGATAATTATATAATAAGTCCTAGACTTAATGTCACTTCCTTGGCTCTTATCCCTAAGAAAACTGATGCTAGCAACCCATAAGATTTTAAGCAGATTAGTCTAGTGACAAATATTTATAAAATCCTGACTAAGGTGCTTTGTTTGAGGATTAAAGAAATTCTACCCTCCATCATTAGGCAAGCCAAAGGGGCTTTCATTCAAGGGCAACAAATAACGGATCAAATCCTAATTGCGAATGAATGTGTTAAGGACATGAAAAGAAGTAGGCAAAAAGGCTTTGTTTGTAAATTGGACCTCGAAAAAGGCATATGACTTGGTTGATTGGCAATTCCTAATTGGACCTAAAAGATTATTACAAAAGTGGGGCCTGCCAACCCCCCTAACATTCCAACCTAAAATTTTCATTTTGTTCTTTCACAACCCTTGCTGCAATCTCAACTCTCAGAACTCTAGCTAGCTTTGGTCCTCTTTCAACAATGAGAAGAGATTTCGGGTTGCTCATGGAGTTGCCACCAACTCCAGATTCATCTTGTTGTTTCTCCCACTCCTCCTCTAGTCCAGTCCCATTACTGGGATTTCCATTGAATTCAACATTGTCACCCTCAAACTCCAATCCCTCTTCTCCAAGCAAATCATCTTCATCTTCTTTAAACTCCCATTCTTCATCCATATTCTCATCTTCAGCATTCTCTGTGTTGACCACTATTGTCTTCGCAATCTTTAAACAAAGCTCTCTTAGCAGACATGTTAAGGGTTTCAGAATTTCTCACTCCAAACCTAGCGCTCAATTGACTTTGGTTTGATTATGAAGTTACCCTTCTACTTTGCTCCATCTCAATGTTTCCTCATGTCGGTTTGGACTGAACTTTCCACCTTTCTTTTTGTCACTAGCACATTCCAATTACACTACTAGAACTTTTATTGTTTTCTCATGTTATCATGTATCTCCATCATCAAGCCACTGAAGTTTTTTCTTTTGGGCATGGATTTCTTGTTTGTTACCATCTAAGTGATTGGAATCTGCAGAAAAGACTGGTTTGTTGACGTCCACTTTAACATAAGCACGTGCAAAATTACATTTTTCCTTGGATATAGTCGGTTTGTCCAATTTGATCCTCCAATATAAGGCAACAAAACATATGCTATAAAGATAATAGACAGGCATAAGGTACAGTAGCACAAGAAACAACATAACTGCACAAGCTAATGTCATCAAATCAAAAGAAAGCTCCCCTCATTTCTGAAATTTTGCCTATCAATGTTATCAAAGCGTTGACTAGTCATTGAAAGACAAACCAACAGTATCAAGCACTGGTCAGAAAGAACCATTAGAGAACCATAGTTTCATGAGCACTGATCCAAAAAGGAGTTTGATGTTTTCCATGTCACTAATTTCTCTAATGAATAGGATGCTATTAACATTGTATTGTAAGGGGAAAGTTCCTACATTTTAGTTGCTCCTCTTTCTTCCCTTCTCTTGTATTTTGGCCAGCAGCCTCTCTCTTTGAATGAATTTTTAATTATCAAAAAAAAAGTTAAGCAGAGGTTAAATAAAAAGAGGACCTACTGAGCAAAGTTTTCATAGGAAGTAAACTTTTACGAATATTTTTCTTCACATTCTTTTTAAGAACAATGAAACTGAAATGGTAAAGCAATAGATTTCATAAAACCACAAGTTACAAAGGTAAAACATTAACCCAGGGCCTCAAGTCAACAGAAATCAAAAACCTGTGACAATGAAAGGTCACTGCGAACATGGTGAACAATCTCAGCAAGTAGACTATAAGCCAATGGTCGCAAAGTCTCAAAGCATGCCCGACCAGTTCCCACAAGAACCCTAACAAAATAAGATCAAGAAAGGAGTTGAAAAAAGTCCAATGACAGCAATATCAGCAATAGAAACTCCTATTTTCAATCACAAAATATGAGCAATTGAATAACACAATCACATACAAAAGAATTTGAGCTAATAACATTGCAGCACCATGATAGGAGAGCAAACAGATAACCACATCAACCAATTAACCAATTCAACCATCAGTATAGTCTTGCAAGAGCCATGAGGGAGTATGCCAAGGAGTAATCATTCTTGGGGAAGTGCAATCAATTTAAGTTCCTGTCAGTTTTATTATTTAATTTGGACCTGACTAGGAAGAATTGGTGTGCTCCACTGATAGTGCTTAAGATGATCGGTCACTCCCAGATTGAGGCCTTCATATGGAGGCAAGGCAATGTTTTAAAACGCGAAGGCATGAGCGTGATGCAAGGCGTTCCACTACCTAGAGGCGTGAGCCATAGTTCAGAACACAAGAGCCGTAAGCCTCCCAAACACAAGGAAGCCTCCTTAAAAAGAGGGAGGTTAGGAGGAAGAAGGGGAGGAGGATGAAGAGGAAGGGGGGGATCTCATTTTTTCTTTATTTTTAATAAAAATCTTTTATATTAAGAAGAATAAAGATGCATAACATTAGTTGAAAGGGGGAGTCTTGTCAAAGCGGARGCGAGCGAGCGAAGCGAGCCCAGTTCCCAAGTCTGGCAGTCCATCCAGACGCAAGTTTTACAACACTGTCTTAGAGTGTGATGAGCCAAAGGAGGCTTGGGGGGGTAACTGGGCTGTTGCTTGTCAGGTCTGTTGGAGGTTTGGATTACCTGCTATAGGTGTGTCATCAGTTATTCTTCTTTTGGTCTTGATGATTCAGGGGATGGCTTCTTCTGGTGAGATCCCTTTACCTTAGCTGTTTTAAGCAAGGCTTCTGTTATACAGCAGCCAGTACAACATTGAATGCATATTTTTTGGGGGTATGATGTTCTTTCTTTTCTTTATGAAAAGGGGGAAATAATTCCTGGCTCCAATTGTTACCCAAATTTTCATTTGTTCTGCTCTAGTTTTAAACCCTAGGCATCGTAACAAGAGCAGCTTTCAATTACTTGATTCCGAAATCCTCAACCTTTACAGTGAAATGGTGGGGTATTTCATGCAATCTTCATCCATGAATCCCAACCATATGGGGCCAGCGACATGAATCCTGTTTCGCCAAGCCATTGGTGTTTCATGCAGTTTACCCTATAAAAGGATCATAAGTACTCGTATTACATCCTTTTCTGGGATTGATTGGACTAGGAACACAAGAGAGCAGGAAATTACCCTGCTCAATGAGAAGGAACTAACTAGCATTATAGTCAAGGGCTTTGGTTACTAGAACTAGGGTCCAGTTGGCAAATCATTAATGTGGAAGGTGATTCCAAGGTGGCAGTGGGTTGGCTGCCAAACAATAGTCCAGACGTTGGCAGTAAAGGCACATTATAAGAGAGAAAAGAAACCTGGTGGGAATTAGGTTCAACTTATAGTCAGGTTCAAAAATCGGCTATTAGGTTGACCAAACAAGGGGTGAATCGGGACCATTTGTATTGGGCTCGATTGTAATATATACTACTATTAAAAGTGTGAACGAGGTCTAGATTCTGGATTTTTTATTAACATGCCCTTACTCTTTGAACTTGGTCTCCCTATATTTATGAGGGTCACAAACATAATTTGAACTACTACTTTTATTAAATTCAGTATATTCCTCATCATTAAGTCCTATATTTAAGGTATTAAGTCCCATTTCCTTTCACTAAGTCTTATATTTATGAACATTGAATAAATGAGATTTGTGGACTTTTTTTACTAAAATACCCCAATTTATGAATTTAATCCCTCTTTAACTATGTAAGCATAAATGTAATTAAAAGTATTATTACTTCCGCTTCATTAAATTTCCTCTCATTAGCGTATTAACTTTCATTCTTTCTCCTTAGATACTTTATTTTAAGTGTTTTGGTTTCTCACCAATAAATTCTACAAAGTAAATCTATATCTAATATTTTCAATAACATAAAACCTATACTCAAAACCAACATGAAAAATAATTAAATAAACCACCCTTTTGACTGAGTGGCAAGTAAATAGTTCAACCATCAACGTCAAATGGGCCAACCAATATTCATAGTTAAATAATAAAAAATTAAAAATACATATAAATATAAATATTAAAAATTATAAAAAAAAACTGAAAAAAAAATTAGGCACATCTCTAATATTATCTATTTATCATATCAAACAACATTAAGCATGCTAAATAAAAGTATTTTTTACGATGGAAATGAAATGCAAGACTACCCCCCAAAAACGAAACTATATTCCTATTCAAATGGGTGGGTCAATGATTCAACCTTTTAGGTCAAATGGATCAACCCATGATATTTTTTTTACCAGCAACACAAGAAAATTTATTATTAATTATAAAAAGGAGTACAATAAGGAGTTGTGGGCAAAGATTAAGCCCAAATCCACTTTCGATATTTACAAAACAGCCCAAAACATTGACTGTCTCTGAATTCCATGTTTAGCTAGCCCATCTGCCACACTGTTTGCAGATCCTCTAATCCACTTCACTTGGATTATCATATCCTTGGAAACTTGCTTGCAACGTCTGAATTCGTTCTTAAACTGCCATATTACTCCTTCCCCCTTTTTCAGCCAGTCCACAACAATTTTGGAATCACATTCAATAATCAATCTGTCGATCACTAATTCTTTAGCTTTCTCCACCCCATACACAGCTGCCAACAGTTCTGATCTCACCACATCTCCATGCCGAATAGGTCCCGAAAACATAACTAAAATATTTCCACTTTCCTCCCTGATGACCCCACCAATACCCAAAGGTCCAGGATTGCCCATGCAGCTGCCATCAAAATTTAATTTCTTCCATCCAGCACATGGAGGTGACCAAACCTCGGTTATTTTTGGTCTTCTAGATGATGAGTGAGCAATTGATCCCCATGAGCTAAGAAATTCTTCAACTTTAAAGACTGCAAAAAGCCTTAAGGTTTTCACCCAATGTGCCACCCTTAAGATTATAATGTCTAACACATGTTCCTTGTTCCTTTCTTTGTCTTCAAAGATTCTGAAGTTTTTTTTATCAATAACAGAAACTTTATTAAGATTTATGAAGCTTTAGGCACAAAAGGGGGGAGGTAAAGAGTCTTATCTCCCCATCAGAATATTACAATGAAAAAAGATTAAAAATTAGCCCAAAAAATAGCCTCCCTATTCACCCCTTGCTTGGCCAACCCATCTGCAAAAGAATTAGCAGTCCTTTTCACCCAGCTGTATTGTATCTCAATGCCTCTACATAGCCATAAGAATTTTTTCTTTTCATTATTGTAGCTCCGCAAGCCACTGTCCTCTTTCTTCAACCAGCTAATCACCACCTTTGAATCACCTTCCAAAATCAGCCGACTGATATTTAGTTCCCTTGCTCTTTGAACCCCTTCCAAAGCTGCAAGGATCTCAGCCCTAATAGAGTCTCCTTCTCCAATAGGGCCTGAGAACAAAGCAATAATAATCCCTTCCTCATTCCTGAAAACTCCCCCAATCCCAGAGGGCCCTGGATTCCTTATGCTACTGCCATCAAAATTCACTTTTATAAATCCGGAGGGAGGAGGGGACAAGACTCTGAAGTTCCTTTCTTCCCAAATTGTCCATATCACTGCTGCTCTAGTGCATCTCCCCAAAATCCTGCCTCTTCTTTTAGAGCAACTAAAAAGATTAGAGTTAAATAATCCTTCCAAATTATCAGGAAAGAGCCACCTGCAACCAAAAAGAGACGAAAAAACTCCCAAATAGAGATAGCAAAAGGACAGGAGATTAGAAGATGAAAAGCAGTCTCTTCATGCAACTTACATAAGGAGCACCAATTAGGGAACAAGCACATATTTGGTCTCTTTCTCTAGAGCATATCACATGTATTTAATAGAACCGTGGAACACTTCCCAACAGAGAGCATTGACCTTTGGAGGAACAGGGAAATACTGAGACGGGGAGGTAGCAACAAGAGAGTTTAAAAAGGATTTGCAAGAATAAACACCAGAATGATTAAGTGACCACACTCTGGAATCTGAACCACCATCCCCTAAGATCACTAAATTCAACATGCAAAGCAAAGCAGAAACACTGGGAATTTCCAACTCTCTAAGATTTCTAGTAAAGCCCAGATTCCAATTCAAGCTTGATTGGGAAGAGGACGAGCTGATAAAATGACACACCGGATTTCCTTTAAAACTAGAAAGCTCAAAAAGAGATGGAAAAATATCAGACAACTAGACAAGGGAGATTCCCCAATCCAGATATCCTCCCAAAACCTTATTCTCTGACCCAAAGCCAAATCATACCTTATATGAGTGAGGAACACTGGAAGAATGCCATGGATAGCCTTCCAAGGAGCAGCCAAAGTAGCTCTATGCAAGCAGTCCACATCCCACCCATTGTTTGACAGTCCGTGGATACTTTAGATAAACCTTACTCCATAACCTCTTATTTTCTTTAGGGAATCTCCAAAGCCAATTACTCAATAATGCCAAATTTTTCAACCTAACATTTCCAATACCCAATCCTCCTTCAACTTTACCACCTTATCCCAGCTAATCAGGTGATCTTTCTTCCCCTCCCCAGGCTCCCAAAGGAAATATCTCATAATCTTTTCAATCCTTTTTACTATTGTTTAGGGCATTCTAAAAACTGGCATGAAGTACACTAGTAGATTCGATAAAGTGGATTTGATCAATGTTATTCTCCCTCCCAAAGAAATATAATTCCTTTTCTAGCATGCTAGCCTCTTCTCGAATCTCTCCACTATTGGGGTCCAAAAACTACCAGCTCTAGGGTTGCCACCAAGGGGTAGTCCTAAGTAACACAAAGGCCAATATCCTTTCTCACAACCCAAAGAATCTGCCGTTTCTCTCAAAGCTTCATCCCCCAAGTTGATTCCAGCTAATACACTTTTAGACCAATTG